CCCTGGTCACTGAAAGTGCTTAACGGTTCACGATTGGTCACTCTCCGTTAGTCTCCGTCAGCCTCCGTTAACGGAGTCCGTTATTTGCTGACGTAGCTAACAGTGTGGCCGAGTCAACGTGATTTAACGAGGGAAAAAAGGAACCCGACGCGCCACGTCACTTTTACCCGCCATGTCAGATCCCCCAACCAAACCCGTGAACCCAACCCATGAGGCTGTTAGACCTAAGATTAAACCACGTAAAATTAAAAAAATTAAAAATGGGTTTAACAACTGAAAGAAGAAAAAGAGTGGCCATTTGTTTCAACCCATCTCCTTCCTCCTCGAACCCTTCCTCTTCCCTTGTCTGCAAATTTCTTCCGATATCAAGGAGCGGCGATGGAGCTAGCCGCTCCACCCCATTGATTTCCTCTACCCCACCTCGACGACATCACCTCTCCTTTTCTTCTTCATCGCTTTTAATCTTCCGCCTCTGTTTCATTCTACTTAAAACCCTAATCCAGCCACAACTATGTTCTCTTCGGTAATTTGTGCCCGACGGAGACCCAGATCCAGACGAAGCTTCTCTTTCTATCAGTTTGATTGTAAAGGTGAGTTTTTGGTGTTTTATTTAGGGTTCGACATCGCATGCAAAGGCTGAAAAAAAGACAATAGAAGGGACAGAGAAAAGGGACGATTTGGGAGTTGCCTTTGGGGGGTTTTCTGCCTTTCTTTTATACTAAACAAAGGCGATGTTGTTGTTTTTCCAGGTCAGGTTGCTTTACACCAAAGAAGCATGGTGGGACATGTGCGAGGACCAAATGAATCCCAACCGAAATACGGTGAGTTTCTGTCGTTTTCAATGTCCTTTTAGTAGCTAGTCTTTTTCGAGTAGTAAATGTTAGCTTCTTGTGGGGATGATCAAAACCAACAACATTGGTTGTCTTTTTTGAATAGAAAATGCTTGGGTCTTGTGGGATGACCAAAGCAGCATAATTGTTGTCCTTTTTTGAATAAAAAATGTTTGGTTTTGTTGGGGATGACCAAAACAGTAGCATTGTTGCTCTTTGACCCTTTCGTTGACCATGCCTGCTCTTTTCCTTTTGATCTAACAGTAGCATTGTTTTGGATGACAGGTGCTGGCAAATGTGGGGTAGTTGGGCACAATAAAACTTCCATGATGAAAGAAAGGAGAAATAAGGTTGAGGCAAGAAAGAATGAGAAGGAAGAAGAAAAAGGGAAGAAGCAATTAGAAAGGGCCGAGAGTAACAAACTTGCAGCCCTACAGAAGTGACAATGCTTCTTCTTTGCCAAGGAGTCGGCCCCATATAGTCCAACTCATGCCTGATGTATTTCTCTTTGCACTTTTACACTTCGCTTCCTTTTTACTCCCACCAGCATACTAATGTCGTCTTAATTTGCAGGGAACTACTCGGAGGCCATCAAGTCAGGTATCACAGAAAGCAAGCCAAAGCTCTTAAGTCTCACATATTGGAAGTCAAGTCACTCAAGCAGAGCAGCTGTGAAGAGTAGTTTTAGCTTTAGTAGTGGTCGGTTAGGCCTTGGTGAATGACCATTTTGCAGTTTGAAGCCTCTAGTGGCTCTTGCAAACTACTTTCGATCTGCTAGTTTGAGTTTTGTCGGTTAGGTTGTGATGCATGGCTCTTTTGGACAAACACAACCTTTGCGTAATTATAATTTGGAACTTGTAGGTACTGCAGTTTATGAATGACTATCAGGTTTGCTTAAGTTTGTAATTCAAACCTTCTGTCTCCAACTCAAGAATGTGAACTTGATTCAAATTCAAGTGACTATATATCAATTTGAATTAGAATGTAAGTGACGAAAAGTCAAACTATACTGGACTTTCAGTGACCAATGGTGGGCCTGAGACAAACTTTAAGTGACCAAATGCAAAATAAAATAGTACTTTAAGTGGCCAAACGTGGAAAGAAATAGTACTTTAAGTGGTCAAAAGCAAAAAAATTTTACTAGGGTTAAACACAGACAACAGTACACAGAACCCTTGATGGTTTGATTACAGCAGCAGCTACAATTCAATAGACGGCTGCTCATTTCATATCCAAAATAGAGAGAATACAAGGGAAATGGCAATGAAGATGGACACTATTTTCACATTAACATTGGACCCTTTCTGATTTTGCCTCTGCTCTTGCTCTCGAATCCGACGATGAAAGTTCAGCACCACATATCGTATATGCTCCTCAAGGGCTGGGTCTCTCCATCTGAAGAAATTACAAGCTCCATTTGTCTACACATCATCAAACAAAACAAAAAACATTGAAAGATGAAGGAGCATAACATTCGAATCGTGAAAGTAAAACAGGAAACAAAGATGAGTGAAATCTTACCCCATATCTGCTGCACCCATAGAATCTCCTCCCTGGATTTGCCTCAGTCCAGCTCGTCTTCAGATCTATTGGCTCTCCACAATGATAAAAGGGTGCCGCCGTTGACAGAGGGGGAAGTGGCAGAATCAGATGTAGAAGGAGGAAGAAAACAGAGAGGTGGAGAGGGTACAGTTCACGGGTTGGGAAGTTGGAGAGGATTGTTGCGTAAGGGTAACCTTATAAAGCAGACAGCGGGGTCGGTTTTAGGGATGGGTTCACGGGTTTGGTTGGGGGATCTGACATAGCGGGTAAAAGTGACGTGGCGGGTCGGGTTCCTTTTTTCCGGGTTAAATCACGCTGACTCAGCCACACTGTTAGCCACGTCAGCAAATAACGAACTCCGTTAACGGAGGCTGACAGAGACTAACGGAGAGTGACCAATCATGAACCGTTAAGCACTTTCAGTGACCAGGGATAGAATAAAATTCTTTCAGTGACCAAACATGAATATTTTTAGCACTTTCAGTGACCAAACTTGCAATTTACCCTTTATGAGTGCTTTAAGTTTTGGTGTTAGAGATGAAAGGCTTTCCAATGAGTTATGTAATTCGTTCTAAAATAAGAATACAAAAACAAAATTTACCTCAATAGCAGCATCTAGTTGTAGAAGTACAGAGAAGTTGTTTCAAGGTGAGCAACATGAGAAAAATGGGGTAGCTGCTCCAGTGGATCTGAACAACTGTTTATTGGTATGGATTTTTCGTCTGACAATTCCAGGAAGAAGAGTCACGTGAAACCATTACAAAAGGGGGGGGGGAAATACTTCAATAATCTATCAAAGTAACTCACTCTCAAATGACCTTCCGGACTTTTAATGCAACATGACAAATGAACATTGTGAATAAGAGATATAACCCAAACTACATTCGAATTTTGATGCAATGAGCAGACTCAACATATCTTAGAAGGAAAAGTAAAGTACCACGTCCCAGTAAACTAATAACAATTTTTAAATGATCTGTCATTAATGTTTACTTTATAGGAGAATTAGCAATGGAGCAGAGGAGTTACAATTATCCATTGGATAGATTGTAAACGGTGTCGGTAGAAACACTTGGACCTTTGACTAAAATTTCAAACACAGTAGAAACACTTGCATCATCCAAAAAGAGAAAAGAAATTACCCAGTGAAGATTCAGAATATTATCCCGCTTTGATCATATGGTATTAATGAACAGTTCCATGGCAAGCATTGGGAAAAGAGAAGTAGGTTCGAGAGGTAGAGAAGCAAAGTACAGGTGGTGGTACCAGTGCCGACCAACCATCCCATTCGTCGCACACTCTTGAGCCGTCAGCTGCAGACCTGTCGTCGACGCGGCATATCCTCTTGTTTATTTGTGCAAAATTGTCGTTGTCGTCGGAAGCATATCCATCTAGCAGTTCGGTTGCGAAGCATATATGGAAATGGAAGGGGAAATATGGTTTGAGTATCCATGGACTTGGACAACTAAACTGGAAAAAGTAACAATACGGAGCTCACCAGGAGTCTCTTCTTCGACGCTGCAAAGGCGGCAATCTCCGATAACAACGAACCCTTTTCCTCAGTTGTTGTTTTGCGGGATTTTTAGGTTGTATTGCTTTTACGCTTTGGGTTAGTTCTCTTGACCCTTGTTGTTCCTTCTTCTTTCTCATCTATGTTTGCCTGTGTTCCGTTTCTACTCCTTTCCATATTTTGAATGAAAGCTTCACCTTCACCAAAAAAGTAAACAATCTAAAAATATAGAATTTTAGTAAGATGAGACTAAACATGGAGGCAGCAAGAACAAGGAGGCAATGGGAGGGGATAATACCATTCATTCTCAAGTTTGTAGACATGCACGCAGAGACCTCCATCAACCGTGACGTAGTCGTCGATCTACCAGAGGAGGAAGCGAGAATTGGAAGTGCAGTTGTTTTATTTATGGATTTTCTAAGCTCGTCTTGGGGAAATAGGTAAGAAATGGATGAGAGGTAGGCAAGGGATTCGCTTTGTTTCAGACTTTTGGTGGGTAAGAGGAAACGTGTGGAATGGAGGTAAAAGGACCGACAGGCGGAGAAGGAAAGGAGAGCGGATAGTACAGACTGGAAATAGATTTTTCTGATTATGGAAGAAAATTGAGGCTTGAAAGTGGGAGTGATGTGAATGGACAATGGAGAGGGAGGGAACAGATTGTTTGGAGCAAGGTTGTCGACCCACGGGTTGATTCGGACTTGGTCGAGCTAGTGAGTCCAGGGTTAACGGGTCACCCGTTTTAGCCCGTGTTAGCCTGGAAATATGGAAAGAATCATTATATTATACTTATCATGATAAATTATATCAAATCTCATCTAACATATGAGTAATAACATTACACCAAAGTAACATGTCGTACTTAGATCAAACATATAGTGAAAATTCACACACTTATATAACATCAATATTCAAATGTTCAATTAAGGATTCCAAAAATTGAGTTAGGCGAAAAGGAAATAATTCGAAAATATTTCGCAAACCAAAGAAAAAAATGACACAATTTGACCTCCAACCCGATACCTTGTAGCGGTCGCTCGACGGGTGCGTGCGTTCCAGCAAAACTGTTGGTTTATATTGATCCTTAGTTCTTGGTGCCAATGGATAGAACTTACTGCTGAATTGTTGTTAAGAAAGTTCTGCCATAGGTTGATGATTGTATTGGGTTCGAAATCTACATGTGGCATGAATCGAACTTGTTCGTTAGCTGTAAACTCATTGAGAATTATACACTCAATGTAGGTTGACTGTAATTTATATGGAATGGGGCATGTGCATGTATCAAAAGTGAAGTTTCGTCATCCGGTTCCAGATGCTTTCAGTAAAAGAAAATCTAATCACCTTTCTCAAGCCAGCATTGAGACGGAAGAAACTATAACTGCATTACGTGATAGTCAGGTATGTGTCCATTTTTCTCTGGGATATTCTCTTGTGCAATGAACATCAGTATTTGTCATTCCCACTCATACTGCTTTGATCTTGGTCATATATTCACTAGACAGACTTGAAAAATAGTCAGCATTTGGATTCTCCAGTTTGGATATCGTCCACGATCCCTGGTGATTGGATATGGCAGCTTTCCAATGAATTTGGCACTCCATCTGATCTGTATACTCACCATGTCAAAAGACAAACTGTTTGTGCGCTGGAAGCAGATACTAGTGTTGATGGTTATCTCCTCACCTCTGTTATTTAGAATGAGAAGTTGTGTTCATATATAAACACTGAACATTTTGACAACCTGCAGATATTCTTAATCAGCAATTCAAGTTATATACATCCTTATCACAATCAGGTTCAGAAGTGAAAATGGTTCAGTCACTCATACCTATCTGGGAGGTTTGTTTTGCATCAATTTTGTTCTTTGCAACCCTAGGTCGTGTTTCATATATGCCAGCTGTTTTATGCACTGTATGCTCATTACAGGAAGAATATGAAAGAACTGGCACGGATGAGGTAGCTATGCCTCCTGATCCTGGAAAACCACTTCCGAGAGATGTTTTAAATGCACTATCACATAAGCTTAACAAAAGATTGGAGAAGTTGACATGTAAAGCTCAAGACAACAAAATGTTGGTCAAGAATACTGTGGAAGATCTTCCTTTGGAGACAGTTTCTGTGAATGAAGAAAAAATGGTTGAACTTGGTAACTCGATGGCCATGATACTGTGGATGATAATTCCAAGCTTGGCATTACCCAAGAAAGCGTCAAACTGTTATCTCCGCAAGATTCAAAGTGTCTAGAAGAACTCTGCCAAACACCCACAGAAAGAAAGTATGGATGCCGACCACTATCAGCCAATAATGAGCAATCACTAGAAGTAAATTGCCTCGTACCTGGGGTGAGCTTGCTCTTTATGATAATCTCTTCCTGCAGAATTTCATTTGATTTTGTTTAGTCGCCGTGCCTGGTTTACTGAGTTCTATTTTCCAGCCTGCAACGAAGTAGATATAATAGAAGTCTGTTTTGCAACCATGTCAGGGGCTATTTCTTTCCCAGGTTTCAGATACAGAAGCTCTGGGCCTGCTAAAGTGGCTTGCCACATCACAGGCTGCTGAAGAGATAAACTCTGACGATGAACTTGTTCGTGAGACCATTCTGAGTCCTCTTTTGCCTACAACAAACATTGATAAGGTGCTAGAAAGAGCGAGTACGGATTATGAGAGCGAGTCCCAGAGAGAGTGTCAGGATATTCTTGATTCCATTGAGGATTTTGTTAAATGTGATGAGTCAAAGGTGAAACTTCCTTATTCGTTGGAGCTTAACCGTTGCTCCTCATCGGAAGAAAAGATGTCCAAGGTTAATGCTTTGCATTCACCTGCTTCTGCACCATCTAAACTGTCATCTAAGACACAGAAAAGAGGAGCATCTGAAACATACTCCGGGCGCAAGGAATTGCAGATTAGCCACACCAGTTTGACGAATAAAAGGAAGAAGTCTTTATGGGGCACTCTGCCGTTCTCAGTTACTAAAACTTCAAGTGACATCTCTAAAATACATAGCATATCTGATCTGTCTGGTGGTGACAATAATCCTGAAAAGGCTCTAAGAAGATGTTCTGACGTTTCTTTACGGAATTCAGAAGCTAATGTCCAAGCACAGGCATTGGACGAATGCTCAGTGCGGGACCTGATGCGAAAGAAGCGCTCCAATCAAACTGCCCTGCAGAAGTGTCCACTCTTAGGGATTGGTGAAGGCTTTCTGGAAAGAGTACATGAAGGAGTTGGCACACCTTTGACTAAACAATTGGATTCGCAAATACAGCCCAATGAAAATGAAGAACACAATAAGAGTTCTGTTAGGCGTCCGGATGCTAGTTTGCTGGTTCCAAAAAAACTAGAGAATAGCCAGCCGGATATTGGAAATCCTATAGTAGTAGATTCAGACAGCCCCAGTATGCAACATGCTTCCAACAGCGTCAAGCAGGTTCCAACAGGTTTCCAGTTTCAATCCGAAACTAAGAACTGTGAAAAGTATATGTGCAGAGGTGAGACCTCAGAAGTCATAGCTTCTGAGCTCTTCAATTCCATATCTGTTTCATCTGCTAAGTGGCTGAATAAGGATACAACTCCGTCTAATCAGAGACCAAACCAGATGAAGGCTAAGGCTGTTGGTTCAAGTTGTCTGCGGGTTTCTCCTATTGAGTCTGAGGATGCAGGCTCAACGAAAGGTGGAACACCGATGGGAAATTCGTTTGAACAATGTGCTGACAAGGTAATTTCGAAGGAAAAGTTGGCAGATACAACATGCTTCTTGTCCGAGGCAGTTTGTTCTGCTCGCTCAAAACGTGGAAATTTCGGTGTTTCTGCTCATGGCAGCTCAGCATTCACAGCTCTTAACATTGAAACAAAGCCTACAGACTTATATAGAATGACAGTCCGTAAGAAACCTCCTGTACCTGACTGGAAGGATGGACCATTGGAAATTGCTTCTTTCTCGCTTGCTTTATCTGGTGCTCCTTCTATTGTCAAGGAGAAAAAAGATGGGATATCAGGTTTGCATACTCATTTATCCGATGGAATTTTTACTCCACATTTGCATATATTACTTCAGAACCAGTTCATATTATTTTGGATGGAAGGTTGAAAGGTGCTGTTGGAATTTATGTAAAAATCATTTCCCATGTGGGAGTGGGATGAATTTTTGTAGCCTTTTCTCTCTGTGATCATTGTCTTAGGTGGTGACTGGCTTGTCAAGGAATTTGTTTGTATTGAGTTACCAGTAACTGTGCTTTCTTTTTTCCCTTCCATGTGTGAGTGCAGTGGATGAACTTCTTCCTTCTTTGAAAATAGTCATCAGAACAAGACAGGAGATCAGTCTCATAGGGATAAGGATGTTGATCAAGAAGCTGCAGTAGGCGTCCAGCTCACTTTCAGAATGATGGCTCAATCTTGTATCTTTTAACACCTGTCTTTTCACCACCTTCCCCAGATGTTGTTTGTCGATGGTTGATGTGTAAGAGCGCAGGTATGACCTAGTTTTAGTATTTGCATTAGTTTCTGCACAAGCATGTGAGGATACTTCCAATTGTTTCATCTAAATAACTAACTTCCAATTCCAGATAGTCTGCTAAAAATCACCCCACTTCAACAAAGTGTTTTTCTATTTACTTCTCCCTGATCTCTACTTGTTTTGCAGGGTTTTCCGAGAATAGTCCAAAAGCCATTTCAGCTGTTGATGCTACTGAGCTTCTGATTCAATCTAAATCTTCATCTAATTCAAACCTCCTCACCCGCTCAAATACGCGAAGAAACAACCGAGAACCTTGATATTGAATGTCTTCCCCATCAAGAGAAGCTTCAACAGTTATCTCAGAGTGAAGGAAACATGCGTGATGCATCTCAAATATCTGGACCTGATGGTGGATCAGGACCTACTCCTCTCAGCCAAATGGGATTTCGGGATCTGCTAGTATTGGTGCTGGACAACAGCTTACATTATTAAGTCTGGAGGTACAACAACATTGTATCATTTTTGCACTTTTATCTCTCTCCTCTTTGACCTCGTTAGAACACCTATGTAGTGTTTGACTTGATTTCGACAAGACAAAAACCGTAGTGTTTGATGTTGCAGTTGATTTCACCTCATGTATTCTGGTGATAACTTGTAGTAACACCATCTAGTCTCTAACTGCATCGAAGCAAGAGCTTGATAAGAATTACTATCGGATTACAGGTTCAGGCTGAATCCAGGGGAGATCTCAGGCCAGATCCTCGGTTTGATGCAGTGAATATAGTAGTGCTTGCCTTTCAGGATGACAATGACTGTGCTTCGGAAGTTTACGTGCTTCTACGTAGTGATTGTGAATCATCCCAGGGGTATGAATTTATGTTTTATGCTCTGTGCTGGAAAGTTGAATATGCTCCATTCAGTAATGTTGACATTTATCAAGGGGCTGATGGAAATCGAAGAAAGAAATGGAATTATTTTGGCATTTTATGATTGAATGTGGAGATTTATGATGGCTTTACATATTCTTTACTGAGCTGTCGAGTAAGCTCTTGCGCAGAATGTCATCACATTTGAATCCAGTTGGTTGACTTTGGAGAGAAACTAATATGGATTATCTAGTTAAACCCCTTCTAGTAAGTTTCTTCAACTAGTATTCTGCACCAAATAGTTCTTCTCATGTCTCGTTTGTATCTTATATTGCAGGCATTCTGTTGGAATACCTGCTCATAAGGTCCTAGTGTTCTTTGAAGAGAAGCTTTTATTTAATGAACTTATTAATCTTGTCCGTATGTTTGACCCCGATGTTCTTATGGGATGGGATATTCAAAGTGGTTCTATTGGTTTTTTGGCTGAGCGGGCTGCACATCTTGGTCTGGGTTTTCTTAAGAGCATTTCTCGCACACCATTTCAAACAGAGCAAGATGCAGATACTGAAGCTGCTAATAAAGGTCTTATGGATATTGCACTCCACGAATCTTCAACTGCAGACAATGAATTGATGGGAGATGCAGTAATTGAGGATGAGTGGGGCCGGACACATGCCAGTGGTGTCCATGTTGTTGGTAGGATTGTCCTTAATGTATGGCGACTGGTACGGAGTGAGGTCAAGCTCAATATGTACACGATTGAAGCTGTAAGTGAAGCTGTTTTGAGGCGGAAGACTCCTTCTATCCCATTTAGAGTACTGACTAGATGGTTTGCTAGTGGCCCCGGTGGAGGAAGGTATAGATGCATTGAGTTTGTGATGCAGAGAGCAAACTTGAATTTCGAGATTGTGGAACAACTTGATATGGTACGTTAGTTAGGAGTCTAACTATCATATTTAAAAGCTTCATCTAAAACAGAAAAAGTATCATCTTTAAAAAGATGATGATATGGGCTGCCTATGTAGGTGGAAAAGGAAATTTTTGTTTCTCCAACTTTCCTGAAGTTAAGACTTGTATACTTTATGTGTGTCTGTTTTGTTTCTATAGTTTATAGTTTTGCTTTCCAATCAACGGTTCTTCAATGACAAAAGCCTCTGAGAAGCTGATTTCTTTTCTGTAATGTTATGTCCTTTTGCTTCCTTTTCCCGCCTTCGATTTTTTTGGGAATCACCTCCTTTTGTTGTTTCGACCGCTCAGTCTTTCCAAACCAAATGTGAATCATATGTCGTGAACATTTAAGATCTTGAGGGCCCTGTCTGTTTCTGTAGTGAGCTTATCATAACCTGATTTAAGTTTTGGACTTGAAGATATATTATTTTCAGCCAGTGATGCTATTTGTGCTTCTTCCGGCCCCTTGACTTTGCTGCAATTATTTCAGGTGAATCGGACCTCAGAACTTGCACGTGTTTTTGGCATTGACTTCTTTTCTGTCCTCTCTCGTGGTTCACAGTACCGTGTTGAGTCCATGCTCCTCAGATTGGCTCATACACAAAATTATATTGCCATTTCTCCTGGGAGTCAGCAGGTTGTTTCTGATAGTTGCTATTTGTTTTCTTTTGTATTCCGAAGAGTCATTCTTTACTTTTTCCTGTTCAGCAGAGATTTTAAAGCTCCGCTTTGTTTGTTTTGTGGCCTCGAACTCTCTCTCCTTGCTTTTATCTGCCAAGCCATGGCAGCCTGAAGGAATTTATTATGTGCTCACAGGTTGCTTCTCAACCAGCCATGGAGTGTCTCCCTCTTGTAATGGAACCAGAATCAGGGTTTTATGCAGATCCAGTGGTGGTCTTAGACTTCCAATCTCTTTATCCATCCATGATAATTGCTTATAACCTTTGCTTCTGTACGTGTCTTGGAAATGCCGAGCCTTCGAAGGCAGATACCCTGGGGGTCACTTCATTTTCACCAGATCCAGAGATTTTTCAGAATTTGGTGAATCAACTGCTTTGTACTCCTAATAGTGTTATGTATGCACCTTCAGAGGTAGTATATTTGGATATACCTAGTTTATGCTGTTGCTTTCTGCAAAATTGAATAGTGAAAATATGAAAGTATGATACTTTCTCTTACCAGGTTCGGAAAGGAATATTACCCCGGTTATTAGAGGAAATACTATCAACCAGGATAATGGTGAAGAAAGCGATGAAGAAGTTGGGTCCCAATCAACAAATCCTTCACAGGGTATGTTTATACTTTGACTAATGAATATTTCTGCTCTCACGTTTTAAGATGTTATTGGTGTCTTCTCTCTGAAGCAGTGACACCTTCAAAGTTTACAGTTCTGAAGAGTTACTGGAGTCTAGAATAGACAGGAAGAAGACAGCATAGTTATATAGGCACTCCTTGTCCTAACAGTCTAATTTGTATAATAGACAAATCCCTGATTAGGGACTTTGGAATGGATGATTTCATCAGGTCGTAGAGGTGACAAATGGTTTGGTTAAAATGGCTTTGCGGGTTCATGGGGTCGGTTAAAATGGGATCATGCTGCCCTGGGAATGGCACTCCCTTGATAATAATACTATAGGTACTATATGATAATTGCTCGGAAACCCATCTAAAATATTCACAAGCAAAGAGATAGCTCAGGTCAAACGGGTTTTGACCTGGGTTTTGGTGGCATTTGTCACCTCTTACATGTCGTGCTTGAAAGTAATCATTGACTTTCCAATCTGCATACTTTTTCTCCAGATATTTAATGCAAGACAACTTGCTCTCAAGTTGATAGCAAACGTAACATATGGTTACACAGCTGCTGGATTTAGTGGTCGCATGCCTTGTGCCGAGCTTGCCGACAGCATTGTCCAGTGTGGCCGTAGCACTCTGGAAAAGGCTATTGCATTAGTAAATGCAAATGATAATTGGAAGGCTAGAGTCGTATATGGTGATACTGACAGGTAACTTGCTTCATCCTGAATTGGCATGAATATAGGAAAGGATTAGAGTGCACTTCTTGCAAGCTACGGCGAATTTGATCTAGCTTGTCTTAAATTCATATCTCTTTGCGTGTGAGCTTCTTAGACTGCTTCAGTATTACTCCTTCGCCAGTCGCATAATTACTGGATATATACATGGATTTTAGGTGTCCAGTTATTTCTCTCATAATATATTGCACATTTTGCTACGAGTTCTGTTCCTTTCTCATCCATCCAAAATTTGCTCACTTTGCATTGTGTCCACCTTGTATTAATGTCCATTTCCGCTGCAGCATGTTCGTTCTTCTCAAGGGACGAACAGTCCCAGAGGCATTCCGGATTGGGAATGAGATAGCAGCGGCCGTGAGTGCTATGAACCCATACCCAGTAACCTTAAAAATGGAGAAAGTATATCACCCTTGCTTCCTTCTCACCAAGAAGCGCTACGTCGGATACAGCTATGAGAGACCCGACCAGAGCGAGCCGATCTTTGATGCAAAAGGGATTGAGACAGTTCGAAGAGACTCATGTGCAGCTGTTTCCAAGCTCATGGAGCGATCCATTAGGCACTTCTTTGAGCACCAAGACATCTCTAAGGTAGTGTACTCTCGCTACTCTATTTTACCCTCTGAAAGATGAATGCATTTTTGGACAGTACAATGCATCACAAGATGACCCGAAATACATGCATCAGATCAGGCATGCATTTGAAATGTGTGGATCACATAAATTGGTTGATAGAGTGGACTGTCTGAATGTTGTGACCGTCTGGAACCTGTTTTCCATCTGTTCAATCCACTTATATCAAATCCATTAATTCCACGCATTCCTCAATTACACATATTAAAACAACATCACAGGCTGCAAATGACTCCTGCAATACACTGTTGATTCTGAAGACCTTGCAGCATCTGTTACTCAACTCAGCAGTTTTAAGTCTTCCTTCCTTTCTGAATTAGTTTCAACTCTCCATTTATATGCAGGTTAAAGTATATCTATATCGTCAATGGACCCGTATCCTCTCTGGCAGAGTCTCCCTCCAAGACTTCATCTTCGCCAAAGAGGTCCGATTAGGCTCGTACAGTACTCGACCTTCTTCCTCCCTTCCACCCGCAGCCATAGTAGCCACCAAGGCAATGAGGTCGGACCCAAGAGCCGAGCCACGCTATGCTGAGCGGGTCCCTTATGTCGTGATTCATGGCCAGCCAGGTGGTCGCCTGGTTGACATGGTGGTTGACCCACTTGACCTCCTGGCTCTTGGCTCCCCCTACCGACTGAACGACATTTACTACATCACGAAGCAGATCATCCCGGCCTTGCAGAGGGTGTTCGGGCTGGTTGGCGCAGATTTGAACCGGTGGTTTGCCGAGATGCCTCGTCCAGCTAGGGAAGCCTCAACCAAGCGACCAGTTTTTGGTTCAAGCAGTAACCCGCACAGGACCAGGATCGACTATTATTATCTGTCCCAGCATTGCTTGATCTGCGGGGATTTGGTTCGTTCATCAGCACACGTGTGTGGGAAGTGTCTGCAGGATGAAGCTGCTGCAACGACTGCTGTCGTTGGGAGGACTTCAAAGCTGGAACGAGAGATGCATCACCTTGCTGCTGTGAGTTCTCTTCAAACGACTCTTAAATCCAGAATTGTTTCGAGGTTTTGAGCTATTTTTCATTACAAATTTACAAGATATATCACTTTGGTACGTAAGCTCTAAGTCGTGGCCAATTCTTTATGTGAACTGTTATTTTGTGGTCATCCAAGTACAAAGACTTGTATATATCGATCATTCTGCCTAAGGACCGGTGGACTGGACATTGCATAACTAGTCTTCATATATGTTTCTATTTTGGAAATGGCGTCGGCTACGGTCGATCATGTACAGTGTCTATCAACCCTAATAGGGATGCTCCATATAGAGAAACCTTGTGGACCAAGATAAATAATAATAAGCGTTCATGTACTGCCAGTGAGAAACTATTAAGGATCAGATTTGCTTTCTTGCGTGTTTTCGCTTTAAATTCAAGTTACTTGTATCTGAAGTTACAGATCAAAGTAATGACTACTACTAGGTTGGTTTATCATCGATGCAGATATGCCGGCATTGTGGCGGAGGGGATTGGGTAGTGGAGACCGGGGTTAAGTGCACATCTCTGGCGTGTTCTGTGTTCTACGAGAGGAGGAAAGTTCAGAAGGAGCTTATGGGACTCTCCGCCATTGCAGCAGAGAAAGGTCTGTATCCCAAGTGTATGGTTGAGTGGTTTTGACAACACAACACAACACAACACTCTGAAAGAATCATATGTTTGGTTCCCGAAGGGTAGATGTAAATGCTATGCAAAAGTGAAAGTCTAGTTACAAGTGATGACTACATGTAAAGATTATTATGTTATGAAAAAGAAAGAAAGAAGGAAAAAAACATTGTACATCTCTGTAAGGAAATACGTTCGTGAATGGGAAGCATACTTCCATTCACGCTAGAAATTGTTGGACTTCACCAGTGCAATTCGATTTATTTGGTATATATTGGACTTCCCGGCTTGTGATGATTGTGAGTTGTGATTCTATTCGTCTCGATTGATACAACCCTAATACTCGAAAGCTATATACGTTGAACTAACTAGGGATGGTTTTCATTTTCTATCTGTAAGGGCTTATCGGAAAGAAGGCCTGGACTCATATAATCCTTTTGGGCTGGCCCAAAGTAACTGGACTTGGTCTGATGCTTTCCTCTGCAACTTTCCGTTTAGTAATCTCCGAAGTAAGCTCCGGCGAAAAAAGAAAGTATACTATTCTATTCTTCGAAGTTGGACTGTTGGAGCCGTCTGAACTTCACGCCGTGAATTCAGAACTGGGAGGCACTCTGAAAACTCCATTGTCTGTCTACCTGCGAAGAACTATTATACCCAAATTAAATTATAGCCTTTCTCCTTTCCTCCGCCGTGCCGTTCTCCCGGGCAAAAATAATGGCGAGAACCCAAGTTCGCCTCCTCTTATGGAGGCGCCTTAAACCCTACAGCTTCGCCCGCCTCTCTTCCTCGCCTTCCACCCTTATACCCTATTCCACTTCTTCTGCCGCCGCCTCCTCTCCGGACCCTCCAAAACCCTCTTCCCTTTCCGCCCGCATGAGCTTCGTCTTCGATCAAATCGACGCCATTGAGCGCGAACGCTCCGAGAAGCACGAAACTCTGCAAAAGATTCGAGCTTGGCGCCAATCCAAAACTGACAACCAGCAGCTGCAGAATCAGGAACGGAGAGAAGAGCCTAGTTCCCGGAAGCCTGAAGTGGTAGTAACGACTTTTAGCTCCTCGCGGGATGAAGAATCCGATGCTGGGTACGGTTTTGATGGGAGCAGTTCCGGGTCGGGTGTTGAGCTGGGGAAGGCGAGGAGGCAAGTGGAGCTTGTTCATCCGTGGCCGGAATGGATAGAGTTGATGGAGAGACTGGTTCAGCAGAATTACTTCGATCATAAGAGAAGTAAAGAAGAGGACCAGATGGTTGAGAGTTTGGGGATTGATGATGGGTTTGAAGATGTGAATGCAGCTGTTGAGAAAAATCAGATAGGAGTTGATTTCGCTAAAGATTTTAGGACCGTGCAGAATGCTTTTGTCAATTTTGGCAAAGACAGATTCGATATCTTGAGGTTAGTTTCTGCTCCATTTTGTTGTTTTGGTTTCAGTCTGGTGACGTTTTTCCTTACCATTGATTATATCCACATAGATGATTATGATGATTTAGGAAGCGGATATGCTTAGGGCTGTAATTAGGAATGACAGTGGGGCTAAACAGGGTGCTGTTGAGTAGGTCAATACTGGTTCCGCCGCTCATTTTGTTTGGAAGCATGAGTCTGGCGGCAGGTCGATCTGTTTGCGACTAGTCATTCTGAGAAAAATATACACAGCGATTCGATTTCGTAAACACTTTCTAAACAAACAAGAAAAAAGAGGAGAGAATGACAAAGGCTAATGAAGCCAAACTATTTGAAACATTGAGGCTTGCTCTCAGTAGTATTATAGAGAATTAAGATGGGATGAATGTTTAGAAAGAAGAGCGATGGGATGGAGCAGTGCAGAAGAAAGACCTTCACGACCCGTCTTGTGGTGCTCTCAGTTCAGGACATTGCTGCGACAAGAGTGTTCAATCGAAATCGTCATCCCATTATCCTAAACGAGTAGCTACAGCTTATTGTGTTGTCTGAAATATTGTCTATCATAGCACAATCTGAAGAAGAGTTGTTATATCAGTCTCATTTGGTTTGGACTATGATTGTATATTGATTAATCTTTAGGTCATTGCCGAGAAAGGATCTCCAGCTCTTGGTTGGCTATGGATGCCCAACTGCAGACAGAAGGGTTGTTATGTCTGCCAAACTCCTGAGGAAGCGTGTCCACCTCGATGAAGGCGATGTGAGTTAGTCACTTGTGAATATATAGATTTACCTGTAATTAGTTTTTGAGGAGGAGAAGAGAAAAATGTTTGGTTTCAAGGCACAAGTTAAAAAGTTTGAACTTTTCATATGTGCATCAGGTTTGTAGTAGCTGCAGCTTGAGGAGCTCGTGTGAGAAAGCATTTCTGCTGACAAATAAAGAGGAGGAAGCGCATACCATCGATGCAATGCGGGTTCTCTTAGCTTACGGATTCGATCCGACAAATGGATCAGTCACCAATAAGTCGATTCTGAAAGAAAAATCGGTCAAAACTGTGGTCCGGAAGCTACTTCACGAGATTGTAAAGCTGAGTGCTGTGCCTATCGATCCGAATCTCCCTCCTCCTGTGATCAAGAAACCTCCTCCAAAGGTGAAGCAGCCTCCGCCGCCGCCGAAGAAACGAGTTGGACGTGATGATATCGAGATGAAAAAAGGCGATTGGCTTTGCCCTAAGTATGTCACTATTTTATGATATTATGATCAAGTCATGTACAGATAGATGTGGTTTCCAATTTCGCTTTTCCTTGCTGCTGATAATGCTGGATATGTGGTTTTCTTTGTTTCTGCAGGTGTGACTTCATGAATTTCGCAAAGAACACGGCATGTTTACAGTGTGATGCCAAGAGGCCAAAGAGACAGTTGCTTCCAGGAGAATGGGAATGCGCTCAGTAAGTTTTCTATCTCCATTGCTCAGATTTAGGGTGTGTTCTGTTCAGGTTTTTATATAAATTTGAGGAAATAAAATCAAGTTCTAGTAAAACTGTAAAAGGAAAGATAATTAATGGGGCAATAGTCATGTGACTTTTAGCTATTACGAGTCTGTAGTTCACCATGATAGTTTAAAAGGTTTTAGTGAAGAAGAGTGTTTTAGTTTTTTCTTAGCTGAAACATAGCATACTGCTAATCTTTGTCTCGTCATGCTTTATTATGCTAACTGGTGATTCTCTTTCTGTTTCGTTCATGGCAGGTGTAACTTCTTAAACTATAGGAGAAACATGGTATGCTTTCATTGTGATTGCAAGCGGCCACATGATGATTTCTTGGAGAATAGAATGGAGGAAAGGAATCGTGACCAAAAACCAAGGTTCGAGAAGGTTGCAACCCGTCCTGAAGTGTCAAATGCCTGGAACTTCGATTTTGATGACGACGAGTCAGATGGTGCAGATGTTGCTGCCTTTGAGAATGCAGACTCAGCATTGAAAGATCATGAACCTCCTATGTCTGCTGCTCCAGCTCAGGGAGGAAACTTCAGAGACCGTGAAATGGGTACCAGAAATCCAAGCAAGTATTCAGATTCACAACCGAGTAGATCCGGAACAGGGTTTGACGATTTTGACGATGAAGATGATATCGAGAGCTATGAGTTGGATACCAACCCCACTCGGGCAACTCATAGCAATGCTTCCAGACGACCTTATGAGTCTGAAGACATTGACCTTTCGGATGATGACTTGGATTCTCGACCTCATTCTAGACCATTGAGGGATTCGAGACCCACCAAGCCGGTAAGAAGGAAACCTTTCGCTGATGATGATGAGCTAGGATTTGACTCAGATGAAGAGCTTTCATCTCATTCGAAATGGAAATCCAGTCACGTTGCGTCTGGACACAAAAATCGAGGTAGGAGTCCAGCTAAAAAACTGAGTTTTGGCTCGGATGATGATGACCTTGATCTTGACTCTGATGATGACTCTGACGAGGAATTTGGCGGCCGAAAGATGAGAACAAAGGGACGGAACTCCACTAGAGGTGGATTTCAGAGACGAGGTGACGATGATGATGACTACACAGGCGGCAGAGGTGGAAGATCAAAGCGGATGGGTGGCGGGAGAAGGGAGTCGTCATGGGATGATGACTTTGATCAACCTAGATCATCATCGTTCCATGGCTCACGTGGTAGAGCAAGAGGAAATGGAGGTGGGTGGAGGAAGAGTGATGGAGGTAGAGGTAGAGGTAGAGGTGGAGGTGGAGGTGAGGATTTTGGCAGAGGTAGAGGGGCAAGACAAGGAGGAAACCGGAGTTTCCAGCAGTCGAGATCTGGTGACTATGGGATGATGGATAAAGGTTCGATGGACGATGGTGAGTATAGAAACAAAAGAAGGGTAATTGAAAGGTGAGTAATAGCAAAGGCCTCTGCTCAAACCCCACAACGAAGGAGATAAGTAAGCTATTTCTGTATCCTGATTATGGTCCGTCATTGAAACTTTGACGGAAGAATGGCCATCTGTTGCCACAGACGGAACAATGGCCGTCTATTTCCACAAACCGACGAGGTGAAAGCTGTAGCTTAGCTGATGCCATGGTTTTAGAAGCTTACTTACTTTGGCAACAGCTTCAGTCACTGGCCTTTTTCCCTCTTCTGCTGGTGGAGAATGGCCCTCCTCCAGGCCAGAGGCTGAGGTTGTTGTGCATGTAAAATACTAAAGTGATGTTTATTATTTAAACAGCTGGGGCTTTATATGCCAAAAGAGGATAAATAAGTAGCAAGAGTAATTGTGTAATTGATAAAAGAAGCATTCTAGCTTTGGTGAATGTATTTACAACTGCTAGTTAATCTTTACTAGTTTAATCAAATTTCTGTCTTATAGATTACTACGACGTGAAGGTAAACTAATTTCCCAATTCCCATGTTATAGAGAACAGAGCATGGCTTTTTGGCCTTTGATTCTGGAGATGCAGAGTAAGGTATGGGATTTCCCCCCTAATGAAACACCATGTCAGAAGTATCCCTTAACTGAGGAAATGGATGATCTGCTCGTGCAGTAATGGCTGTTTAGCGATTCTGGATTGAGCTGGAACATTTTGTATCCTGAAAATTCAGTTACCCTGCAAGTCTGCAGAATAACAACCATTTCTTCACCTGCCAATGCCCAATAGTAGTAGTTGTCTTGCTTGCTATGTTGGTATTTTGTTTTGCATCTTTCATCATCTCGCTGGGGTTAAAATAAAATAAAAATCGTGGAGAAACTTACAGATATGGGTTACCATTTATTAAGCTCAAATAGACCTTTTTGTTCATCTTTGGTTTTGCATTCTTAATTATCTCTCGCATAACATAAAAGCTATAAAGAAATCTCTCACTTCTCATTAATAGGGTGGAAGTGGCATAAGAAACAAAGCCAAATGTTAGGTTCTTCCGCCTGCAAAACATAGGTACACAAAAAAACAGAGCAGCGCCAAAGAAAACTGAGGATTTAGGAAAAATTAGCAGAGAAGGCAGATAAATGGCAGGGCAGGGGTTGGAAATTTTGAATCGCTAAATGTCGCTCTAAGAATTGCTAAACATCGCCCTAACTAAAATATAAAATTACCTATATGCCCTTAAGCAAAAACTCAAAACAAACAAGCCCCTATTTCAAATTCAAATTCATTCTCCCTCCCCCTCAACTCCTCTCTCACCCTTTGTAAAAAAAAAAAAAAAAAAACTCCTCTCTCACCTCTGCAACAAATCCCGTCGGCGACATTTGCCCCTGCCGCCGGCCCGCCGGCCCCCGTCGCCAGCAAGCCGCCGCCCGCCGCCCGCCCGCGCTTCGCCGCCGTGCCAGCCTCGCCGCCGGAGAAGAAGGTGAGATGGAATCGCCGGCTGACCGCGGTCTGACTAGAGGCGAACGACGGTCAACGCGGGGTTGGACCGATGGTCAACCGCGGTCAACGCGTGGTCCGACCAGCGGCTGACCGCGGTCAAAGCGCGGTTTGACCATTTGCGGTCCAGCCATGGTCCAACCGCAGGTCAATTGCGGTCCACCCATGGTACAACCGCAAATCACCCGCGGTTCTCATTTTCTGTGTTTTTTTTTTCAGTTCATGTTTTTACCTCGTCGGAGTCGCTACTCATGATTTAGACGTCCTACTGACAATATCGGCTTCAAAATGACGATGAGAGATTTTTCTCTCCTTAGATAGTTTTTTTTTAGTTTAAGTGATGTTTGTTTGAGTAAGGGAAGGTAAAGAAGCTAAGGGGGTTAAAAGTGTAACTTTGATTCTTTTTAGGGCGATCTTTAGCAATTTTAAGGGCGACCTTTAGCAACTTCCAAACCAAAGAAACAACGAATGCTTCTAAAGCGATAAAGAACAAAAAGAAAGCGAAAGATATCCAGGGATGAATCTGAGCGAGGATGCAGATCTGAAATGGCAGAGATGAGAGGGCGATGAGCTGAGGATTGCATTGCATTGCATGGTCGCTCTTTTGGAAAAGGCATTACAATTTACATCACTCTCAACATAAGCGCAATAAAAGTGGAGGTGGCTCCCACATTAGCCGACCGTTACTACCCTATCTTCGTCTCTTCTCCCTTTTCCCACTCTCCCAAACAAAATTCAAATTCTAACCGTTGCCCTCTCCCTTTCCCTCTCTGTTAAAGTTGACAACTTAGGAAGCCTTTGGATTCGATTCTCTATCGCTCCTTCCCTCTCTCTCTCTCTCTCTCTCTCTCTCTCTCTCTCTCTTAGCAGCGAAACCCAAAGGAAAGAAAATGGTGCTGAAATCATCGGCGGGAGACTCTCCTTCTTCACCGGTCACGATCACCGTCTCCTCCGGCGGAAGAAGAAGAAGCATGGGACTAACGAGCCCCATCTCGAGGCCTCCGATTTCCAACAATCCCAATTCCCCTCTCTCCAAGAATCGGAGATCTTCCATCAGCGGAGGAGGAGGCAGCCGGTACTGCTCAATCTCCGACGCCGGCGCCGGTGAAGAGCTCAATTCCGGTTTCGTAACTTACACGGTCCACATCCCTCCGACCCCCGACCACCAACCCATGGCAGCGTCCCAGACCACCAGCCACGTCGAGGAATCGCGAGAGAAGCCCGACCGGAGCTTCATCTCCGGCACCATCTTCACCGGCGGGCTCAATTCCGTGACCAGGGGCCACGTCATCGACTTCTCCGCGCCGGACCCGCCGCCGTCGAAATCTGTGCTGGTCTGCTGGATGAGGGGGTGCGATGAGAAGGCCGTCACCAAGGGGAAGTGCGAGTGCGGGTTCAAGATCTGTCAAGACTGTTACTTGGACTGCGTGGGTTCTAATGGCGGCGGGAATTGTCCTGGGTGTAAAGACCCCTACAAGGATCTTGACGATTACGAGGAGAATGATTACAACTACTACGACGAAGAGGACGAGGAGGAAGATCAAGCTCTGCCGCTGCCCAAATTGGACAAAAGGCTTTCATTGGTGAAATCTACGAAGCGTATGAGCCACCCGCCTGAGTTCGATCACACCAGGTGGCTGTTCGAGACCAAAGGGACTTATGGGTATGGTAATGCTGTGTGGCCTAAAGATGGGTATGGCGCCGGAGCTAATGGATTTGAGCATCCCCCAAATTTCGGTGAGAGGAGTAGCAGACCCTTGACCAGAAAAGTCTCTGTTTCTGCTGCAATTATCAGTCCTTACAGGTATGGTATCCTCGATTCACTCTCCCTCAACCGGAAATTTTGATTCAGGTTGCTAACTCTCGAATTAGGGTTTCATTATCTCGATTATGAGCTTTCCTTTCACTTCCTTCTCTCTGTTTGCTTTCAATTAACAAGTTCTTCCTATCTACAATTGCAGGCTGCTCATTGTGTTCCGCCTGGCAGCACTCGGGTTGTTCCTCACTTGGAGGATCCGGCACCCGAACCGCCACGCAATGTGGCTGTGGGCGATGTCAGTAACTTGCGAGCTCTGGTTTGCACTCTCATGGATTCTGGACCAGCTATACAAGCTTTGCCCAGTCAACAGAGTCACTGATCTCTCCGTTCTCAAAGAAAGGTTCGAGTCTCCGAATCTCAGGAACCCAAAAGGAAGGTCCGATCTCCCTGGAATCGACGTCTTCGTCTCCACAGCTGACCCTGAAAAGGAACCACCTTTAGTCACTTCAAACACAATCCTTTCAATTCTAGCAGTCGACTACCCAGTCGAGAAGCTGGCATGTTATCTCTCCGATGATGGTGGATCCCTTTTAACCTTCGAAGCTCTAGCTGAGACTGCTAGCTTTGCCAGAACGTGGGTTCCATTCTGCAGAAAGCACAAGATCGAGCCGAGGAATCCTGAGGCTTACTTTGGGCAGAAGCGGGATTTCTTGAAGAACAAAGTGAGGCTCGATTTCGTACGGGAGAGGAGGAGGGTGAAGAGGGAATATGATGAGTTTAAAGTGAGGATTAACTCCTTGCCTGAGTCGATTAGGAGGCGATCGGATGCCTATAATGCTCATGAGGAGTTGAGAGCCAAGAAGAAGCAAATGGAAACTGGGGGCGACAATCCAGCTGCTGATTCTGTGAAAGTGGCTAAGGCTACTTGGATGTCTGATGGGTCTCACTGGCCTGGAACTTGGGCTTCTGGAGAGGCTGACCATTCTAGAGGAGACCATGCTGGTATCATTCAGGTAATGACAAGTTTATATGTTTCGATTAGACTGTTTGCTGATTTGTTCATCTTTCATACTGAAATGCTTGTGTCCTTTGCTTCTTTGATTGACACCAGGCAATGCTAGCTCCACCAAATGCAGAACCAGTTTTTGGGTCACAAGCAGATGGGGAGAACTTGATAGACACGACAGAGTTCGACATCAGATTGCCGATGCTGGTCTACGTCTCCCGCGAGAAGAGGCCCGGTTATGATCACAACAAGAAGGCAGGAGCTATGAATGCATTGGTGAGAACAAGTGCAATCATGTCCAATGGTCCATTCATCCTCAATCTCGACTGTGATCACTATGTTCACAACTCGTTAGCCCTAAGAGAAGGCATGTGCTTCATGCTTGATCGAGGTGGAGACAAGATATGCTATGTCCAGTTCCCGCAAAGGTTTGAAGGGATCGATCCCAGCGATCGATATGCAAATCACAACACCGTGTTCTTCGATGTCAGCATGAGAGCACTGGATGGGTTGCAAGGCCCGATGTATGTTGGAACAGGCTGCATTTTCAGGAGGACCGCTCTTTATGGCTTTTCTCCACCCAGGACTACTGAGCACCATGGATGGTTTGGGAGAAGGAAGATCAAGTTGTTATTAAGGAAACCCAAGTCTTTGAGGAAGAAGAAGAAAGATGAGGATGATGATGAGATTTCTCTGCAAATCAATGACGATGAGAATGATGATGGAGAGATTGAGTCATTGCTGTTGCCTAAAAGGTTTGGGAACTCTACATCACTGACTTCATCCATTCCAGTGGCTGAATACCAGGGGAGGCTGCTTCAGGAATTGCAAGTGCATGGGAGACCAGCCGGTTCACTTGCTGTCCCAAGGGAGCCACTGGATGCTGCGACTGTTGCAGAAGCAATCAGTGTGATCTCGTGTTTCTACGAGGATAAGACTGAATGGGGAAAAAGAGTCGGCTGGATCTATGGCTCGGTGACAGAAGATGTGGTGACTGGTTACAGAATGCACAATAGAGGGTGGAGGTCGATTTACTGTGTGACCAAAAGGGATGCATTTAGAGGCACAGCTCCAATCAACTTGACAGACAGGCTGCATCAGGTTCTTCGATGGGCAACCGGTTCGGTCGAAATTTTCTTCTCGAGGAACAATGCATTGTTTGCTTCACACAGGATGAAGTTCCTCCAGAGGGTTGCTTACTTCAATGCTGGAATGTACCCTTTCACGTCATTCTTCCTAATAATCTACTGTGTTCTGCCAGCATTGTCACTCTTCTCAGGCCAGTTCATAGTGGCTTCCTTGAATGTCACATTCTTAATCTACTTACTAGCAATCACACTCACATTGTGCATGCTGGCACTCTTGGAGATCAAGTGGTCGGGGATAACACTCCATGACTGGTGGAGGAACGAGCAGTTTTGGCTGATCGGAGGAACGAGTGCTCATCCTGCAGCAGTTTTGCAAGGTTTATTGAAGGTGATTGCAGGTGTGGACATATCATTCACATTGACATCCAAATCTTCAGCTGCTGAAGAAGGTGGGGAAGATGAGTTTGCTGACCTGTATGAGGTGAAATGGAGCTTTCTGATGGTGCCTCCAATTACTATCATGATGTTGAACATGATTGCGATTGCAGTTGGGGTAGCCAGGACTCTGTACAGTCCGTTCCCACAGTGGAGCAGGCTGGTTGGTGGAGTGTTCTTCAGCTTCTGGGTTTTGTCGCATCTCTACCCTTTTGCCAAAGGGTTGATGGGGAGAAGGGGTAAAGTTCCAACCATCATCTATGTTTGGTCTGGCTTGCTGTCTATCATCATCTCCTTGTTGTGGGTTTATATCAGTCCTCCCTCTGGTGGTGCTCACCAGGATTTTGATAGTTCCTCGTTCCAGTTCCCTTGATCTGTTAAAACAAGAGAACTAGAATGTGGAAAGTAGATAACAGTTTGGAGTAAGAGCAAGGGGAAAACAGCTCTCTGCAAGGGGAAAACATGAAGCATCTGATTTCATTTCATTTTCCACCTATTGTATCCAGCCAGTTCTTTTCGATGACCTAAATTGATATTCAATAGTAATGAAAATTTAGATTGTCATTGTGTACAAGTTTTTTGCTTTCTGTCTTGTTTGTGCAAAGTTCTAGTGTTGCTTGATATGCAGCTTTATGGCTTCATCTTCCAGATTCACGCTATCACTAGCCTCAATGGCAAGTTCTACGTTCTCACAGGGAGCTGGTGAATGACTTCTACCCAGTGACAAATTAAGATACCATCTTTTCATTTTTTTTTTATAATGGCAGATACCATCTTTAAATTTAAAACCTGCAGTCATGCATTGCTCCAAACATGGATGGCTGCTCGAGTCAATAGGAAAGCTGGGGTAAGCAAGTACTCTTCTTCAACCCTTCACCAAATAAACGATTGATCCCCAGACTTTATGTATATGGCCGAGTGGGGATCACATTTACTTCTCCAACATCCTCCGACGGCATAGTTTTTGGCTACTCGGTCTCTCCACTAGAAGTGAGACTCAAGTCCATCTACTTTAGTAATCCAGGTGGAGAGCTCCACTGTGCAGACTCAAGTTCATCTGCATAGTTTATGGGAAAGACAGGACGTGGAACCACCAACCAAGTTTATGAACTTGCCAAGTAAGCCTTGTAATTCAATTCGAAGAAGCTGTCTATTAGAGTGCAACAACAAACTTCTATCAGTGTTCACAGGGGGCACACAGGGAGATTTCTACAAGTATATGAAACCAAGAGACCATGGCTTGGAAAAAACTCAAGAGTCTGGGAGACACCATGCTGTTTTTGAGTTCTGCTTCTTTGTTATCAGCAACAAGTAATGGAGTAGAGATTTATTTCCGGCTTGGGAAATAAGGTGTTTCTGAACAGGTTTAACCGGAAGGATTGCATGTTCTAATCTCTAAACAACAAGAAAGTTCCACATCTTTTGACGTGACACCAAGTAATACATGAACTGTGCTTGGATCGTACCAAACTTCAAGGCACAAAAGGAAGAGAAGCTCCGGTGGTATGATCCTGAAGTTCGAGTCGAAGAAACATAAGAATGAGGGCTTGTAAACTCTTTATCGTTGACATGTACAAGGTGCAGCATCTCTCTCTCTCTCTCCCTCTCTCTCTCTCGATTTGTTCAATTTCTAGTTTTTCATCTGCATTCTGTCCTCTAGGTTAGGTCACATTGGCATCCTCAACTCAACAGTCAAAAGCTGGATTAGACACGCGCCATAAATATTTCACTAAGAATACTCAATAGTCAGAAGCTACTGCCAATGCATAATATTCAGCCTCGTCCATTTCCGATAGCAAAAATATGCCCTTCAAAGCTTTACAAATTCTATCAAACTGTAAATGAGAAACGTCCCCAGCCAAGAATTCATGAAACTTACCCTCAACATCTACCAAGCTTCGACCAGGAGTTTTCTTAACACCCTTCTCCCTCATCATGCTTCTTACCATCCTCACGTCACCCCATCTCTTATTCCCGGCACAAACAGTAGCCAACAGAACATATGTGCCGCTATCTTCAGGATCAAGCTCCAAAAGCTTATTGGCAGCAAGCTTCGCGAGTTCAACATTCCCATGCATCCTGGAAGCATTCAGGAGGGCTCCCCAAGCAGCTTGGCTTGGTTCCATTGGCATCCCACTGATCATCTTGAATGCATCTTCTAGTTGCCCGACCCTGCCAAGCAAATCAACCATACACGCATAGTGTTCCCTCGTTGGCTCAATGCCAAAATCATTCTTCATGTTGTGGAAATACTTGTGGCCCTCTGCCACTAATCCGCCATGACTGCAGGCTGATAAGACGCCAACAAAAGTAATCCTGTCAGGCTTGAAATTGGCGAGTAGCATTTGGTGGAAGATACTGAGAGCTTGGTTGGGGTTTCCATGAGCAGCATATGCTGCAATTATTGAATTCCAAGAAACCAAGTCTCTTTTAGGCATCTTGTGGAAAATGTTTGCAGCGGAATCTATTAGCCCGCATTTAGCATACATGTCAATAAATGCATTTGATATGATCAGAGTGTTCTTAATTTGTTGGTTGTCAATGTAGTGGAGATAAATCCACTGACCCAATTCCACAGAACCTAGCTGACCACAGGCAGATAGGACACAAACCAATGTGTCCTCCATTGGAGCTAGCCCAGCTTCTATCATGCGGTGAAACAATTCTATAGCCTCCTTTGGTCGATCCTTCTGAGAGTACCCGGCAATCAAAGCATTCCAAGAAACTGTATTCCTGTCAGGCATGTCACCAAACAACTTTCTCGCCAACTCTAGCTCACCAGCTTTGGCATATCCATTAACCATGCTAGTCCAAGAGAACACATCCCTAACTTCCATTTTGTCAAAAATCTCCTCGGCAGCACCCAAGCAACCACATTTTATGTACATATCCAGAATTGCATTCATCAAATTCAGCGTAAAGTCCATGCTTTTGCTCCTAATGCATTCATGAACATCCTTACCCATTTCTAAATCCCCATTTTGTGAGCAAGCGGAAAGAACTGCAATCATTGTTACCTCATTCGGCTCAACATCGGAAGACAGCATATACTTGAAAAGCTTCATCGCATCATCGCATCGATTATTACTTGAATACTCATCTATCATGGACGTCCAGGAAACAGCATCCTTCACAGGCATTTCATCAAACAGCTTACCTGCTAACTCAACTCGCCCATGACCACCATAAAAATGAATCAGCACGTTCGAAACCAACAAAGACCCACGAAACCCAGTCTTCCAAGTAATCCCATGAACACATTCCCCTTTAAACGCCGTCGAGAACTGCTCGCATACCTTCAGCGAGAAGACGAAGCTCCTTGCGTCCATCTCCGCCCTCTCCCTAACCATCCGCCGAAACAGCGAAAACCCAACTCGTGGCTGTTTAGCTTTACCCCACCCTCTAATCATGGTATTCCACATGTAATTATTAGGTTTCTGAATCCTTGCAAACAGAGCAGCTGCATGACAGATGTCTCCGCCGTCGGCGAGAGCGCAGAAAGCCAATGCACGGCTGGCGGGGAAAGTACGAGTGATGAGACTGGTGGTGGTCAGGTGGGCTTGGATTTGCTTCAGTTGGAGCATGGAATTGCAGGAATCCAGCATGAGAAGCAGAGCCGGTTGATTGATGATGCCGTGGGTAGTGGAGTTCCATTTTGTCGCCGCTGCCGATGAGGTGGAAAATCGGTTGAGCGATCGGAATCTGGAGTAGGCAATGATCCTTCCTCGCCGGTTGCTGAAAATCGGAGCCGGAGAAAGAGGAGAATCGAGCAGCGAGGACGAGACTGAGATGGCTGGAGAAGATCGAAATGGTTTCATATGAAAAAGAAGAAGGGACAATGGCGGGGTTTGGGCGCCCGGAAAGCATAAAAACGGAGAAAGATAACTGCTATACGTTACTTTGGGCTTGGGCCTCGGGGCTCATTTCGAATTCGATTGACCCACGACACTGATTGGGCTGCTCTATGGCTGGGCCTCCTCCAACAAGGACACTGAAACTTGATTATCCTCAATCCTTAGACAAGTCGGAAACAAAATCCAATTCCTCTTAGAAAAAATAAGACATGAAAAGTTATATAAAGCTTAGAGAAGCCTCAGCCCTCAACTCAATCAGGCATTACCGATTGCTCCCAACAGTTAAAAAGAAAAGAAAAAATACTCAGTAAGAAACATGGCTCTCCGACTAGAACCATGGCTGCTGTATAGGCACGGTAAAAAGAAGAGGTCAAAAACCTTTTACAGCTTGTCGGAGGGTAACTACCACGTCAGCGACGTCCGGGAGATGCGACACCGTATGATCTACGCCCATTCCCACGGCTGGCTGGTCCTTGTTCACCAAGGTGAATGCTGGCTGTACAACCCTTCCACCACGGATCAAATCCAGCTGCCCAACTTTCCCAAAGGTCACTGCGCCCACCACTTCTCCAACTGCGCCCTCTCAGTCTCCTCCTCTGACCCTAAACTGGAGGGGAGCATGGTAATGTTCATCCACCAGTACTCCGACGAGCCGCGGTTTCTTTACTGTAAGCCCGGGGATGTGCATTGGACGGTTGCTACGGTGGAGGGAAATTGCGGCAGTTGCGGTCATCGAATCTACGGTTATCGAGCCATTGCTAGTCTTGGTGACGAGTTCTATGTCCGTACAGTTTGCTGTGAGAGCTTATTGAAGCTCCAGTTCAATCAATTCAACGACGACAAGGTGGTTGATGATGCGTTGATCAGCAAAATACGGTACATGATGTCTTTTTTCCTGATAAAAATTATTAAGTTAAGCATTATTCTAGCAATGTGTTTTAAGCTTTGACTTGCTAACCTTGTGCTTATGAATTATGATGATCAGGTTACTTGATACCAAAGTAAGAAGACCGCACTTTCCGCGGACTTACTACCTGAGGGGAAGTGCAGACAGCACAAGCTTCTTGGCTCAGCTGCCCTCGCGGCCTAACCAGCTGATGATCGTTGAAGTCAATTACGGAGATCACATTGTGGATGACGATAGCATCAAGGATATCGGTTTTAAGGGCGTCGAGTTGTACATGGCCAATTTCGAACAAGGGAGGTGGGAGGATTTGGGAGACTTGCCTGACGATTGTGCCATCTTCCTAGGCTCCCATCCGGACAACATCCTCGTGTACAACATTCCGAAAGAGGCAGGAATTTTTCGCGGGAACACGGTTTACTTCACCCAGTACAGAGACGGCGATCATCTCTACGCGTATGATGTCCGAGAGAAGAGTATCAGCGTCTCCAGGTTACATTGCACAAACACCAAACACTGTTCGCCGGAACCGCAGTGGATTCTGCGTCTGTGCAGAATCCACCGCGGCATCAAAACACCAACCGAGAAGAAGAAGAAGAAGAAGAAGAAGAAGGAGATTATGTCATCATCCCCTGAAGGAAGATGCATCAACGAGGGAAACCCTTGGTGCGACATTGAAATCGAGCTACTCAGTCGCATACAGTCCCGTCTATTCGGGGCAGACCGCTCCCACTTCCGGCTCGCCTGCAAAACATGGCAATCGGCATTCTCCACCACCACCAGCTATGCCTGCCTGAAACCAACTGAAAACCCACTCGCGCGATGCAGAGCCCATCCATCCCCGATCCTAGTACACATAGGGAAAGACGGCGAGCTGGTCAATTTCTTCGACCCAAAGACCAACTCCACCACCACACTGCCTCTCCCCGGTCTGAAGGGCGCGGTGATTCGCAGCTCCAACCACGGATGGTTGCTTCTGTCACAAGGAAGCGCCGGCCAGAAGCTCTTCTTCTTCAACCCTTTCACCGGCGAGAGGATCGACCTCCCGAGCCAGCTCATGTACGATTTCGAGGGGATCGCCTTCTCGTCTCCTCCCACGTCTTCCGATTGCACGGTTCTGGGCTACTCTGTCGCGCCCATACTAGCCTTGTTCCGATCCCTTCGTCGGGGACAGCGCAAATGGACCGATTCGTCGGAGAGAATGAAGGGAATCCAATTCCACAACTCCTTCACAAACCCAGTCTACCACCGAGGGTTGTTCTACTTCATGGGGAAGAATGGAAACCTGTGCACACACAACCCCAGACCAAAAAAGAAACAGAGTCGCACTCTGCTTTCCAACTTGCCGACCAAGCCCTGCGCCGCGTCGATACGGAGGAGCCATCTGATGGAGTGCGACGGGAAGCTGTTATCGGTGTTCACAGGCCACATGGGTCGATCTCTACAAGTTTACCAGCTCAACCTGGGCACAATGACATGGGAGGAAGTCGCGAGTCTGGAAGACAAGGTGCTGTTCTTGAGCTCCGGTTCTTCGTTGTCGTCGACGAGCGAGGACATGGAGAGTCGTAGCTTGGGGAACAAGGTGTTTCTGGACAGGTTTAATGGGAAGGACGGCGTGATGCACTGTCTGGCGAGGAGGAAGTTCTACACTATGTGGAGCGGGTACAACAGCGATGACTGGTGCGACACCAAAGAGTATACGAATTGCGCTTGGGTTGTGCCCAATTTCGATACGCACAAGGAAGACGAGCTCCGTTGGGCTCCATGATGAAGTTCGTTTTGAATTGGAAATAAATATGCTCAAGGCTAAATTGTTTTATCTTTGTAATCTACAGGTGCTCTGCTCTCTTTTAATTATCTTGTTGTTTAGTTTGGCTATTTCTAGCTAGTACGATAGTAGATGTTTTCCTTTTGGATTCAATAGTAGAGAGATTGTTGCTCGTAAATAAAATAATCGATATGTGAGGATGAGATTAATTATTAACTAAATAAGTTGCTCTATTAATTTTTATACATAGTTACAATGCTGAATTGTTCACAATACATCATGTTTTTTGAATTTTCTGTACAAATTTAGAAGCATTGTTTGTTTGATGTGACATAAACTAATAACACTTTAGGCGAAGCCCACATCAACTAAGCACGAGAGAGATCCACAATTCATAAGTAAGAAACCGACATTAAATTATAAGACTTGGTTTTAGGTGATACGGAAGAGTTATTGTGAGAACTTCAAAGTTAAACGTGCTCACACTCGTGGAGCATTGCAAATATGAGTGACCTTATGGGACTTGATCTGCACCCTAAAGCAAAAAATGTGATGGTCTATGCCCAAAGTGACAATATTTTGGTCGGAAAAAGGTCTGTGATGTTTAAAAACTATCATAGGTCTCATATTTTATGTGAGATTGTTGGGATAGTTTATGTGATATTGTTGGAGTTTTTGTTCCAACTATATCACTAACTTTTTCTTATGTGTTGCAATTTTATATTAAAAATAAAGAGTAAAAGTGACATATCCACCAAAAAGTAATATAATATATTCAAATACTATAATAAGTTAATAACTATCCCAAAAACTAAAAAATGTAAACTACAATATAACAATTTTTTTAAATACATGTATAGTTTACAATGCATTAATTTAACAATCACCAAAACCAAACCACCCCTAAATTTTTATAATAAGTTCTGACACACATTTTCTTCATATATTAGTATTAATACCCACGGCTACACCGCGGGAGATTTAGTAGCATAGTGAAAACAGAAAGAATTGAAAGTTATACACAAAAAGTAAGTACCATTTGTATTGTTAGGAAGTTAGACATTCTTGTTATGCACGACGAATTTACTAAATTCTTATAGTACATCAAGTTCTAGTAATTCTATATAATACAACAGGCCCTTCCTACAAATAACTACTAAAAAATGATAAATTCATATGATCAACTCAATTCTTTACAAAGTAATAAATTCCAGGCATTGCCTACAGCTTAACGTACGGAACCAGGTTATGACAGAATCTTCTCCTTGTTGTGATATTCCCACTACCTCATGTCAGTAGAAACTGCAAGTCAAGCTCTATTGATGTTGTGCAACTAGAGCTGTCCATTTGGTTTTGGTGTTTTGGTTTTAACCGAAACCAAACCAATTGAAAAGCTAATGGTTTCAGTTTTTCGGTTTTAAACCAATAAGCAATTTAATGGTTTTGGTTTGGTTAAAACCGAAAAACCAATAGAAACCATTAAGAAACTAATAAGAATAAAATTATTTATCAACCATTTTTTTTGTTTCTTTTAACATGCATGCCAACCAATAATTTGTAATGGCCATTTACCATTATTATGACGTTTATTCAATAAAAAGGAGGGAAATGAGAATAAATATGAGTGTATGAGTACATGTTGGTCTTTTGGTTATCCAAACCAAAACCAAAACCATTGAGGCCCTTATTGGTTTTTGGCAACCAAGAACCAATAAGGGCCTCAATGGTTTTGGTTTTGGTTTTCGGGATTTGGTTTTTGGTTTTTCATACTTAATGGTTTAGTTAACCAAACCAAACCAAATTGACAGCCTTATGTGCAACGGCATAATAAGGAAGAACCTGAGAATCGAGAGTAGCCTCACAAATGGTGATCCAGCATGATTTCTTCCACCGCCTGCAAAACTAAACATTGTTTAAGAAAAGCAAAAACCAAATTAACTTCTCTAATAACATACTTAACCATGCAATTGTTGGGGCGTTTTTGAAGCTTCAAATTGCTCGGCTGCAACTTACACCCTGTTCCATTTTCAGTTCCCCCCTCATCATCATCATGTTATGTTCTTCCTTTTCTACCGAAATCACTGCCAGAGTGATATGATCACAATTTACGTACCATCGAAGCTTCCAAGGATCGATGAAGAGGCAAGTTCAAGTGGAAGGCAGAATCTGGAATTTTGGTTAGTGTTGAAGTTGTTTCAGGTAGCGTTCTTTGCCAGCCTATTTCTTGCGTGTGGCTTGATAGAATTTGGAGATGGAGGGTTTATTTTGAACCTTGTGAGTTGATGAACAAATGGGTATGGCTGGGAAATCAAGGCGAGGCTGGGAAGTGTTGTTTTAAAGCTCGACAAAACCCTATGGCAACACAGGCAAGCTGCCAGGAATTGCCTAAGGCATGGAGCAGTTGCAAGCAGGTCACTTTGGGGTTTGTGTCACGACAGCCTGTTGGGAATCGCATCTCAAGGCTCATACCACACGAAAGCCTGTATTTTCTAGTACAAAAGCAAGGGGTTGGGGGATCAATTCGACAACTGGAAGGCTGCCTCCTAGGGCTCTGAAGATGGCATCAAACTATGTTTTACTTGCGTTTTAAGTTTCCGTGTTACTTTAGGACTTGGACTGTTTTTGTTTCTCCTTGTTAATTTGGGTTTCCTTTGCGCTTAAGGTTGATGCAAGTTCTATTTAAGCACATACGAAGGTAATGTAAGAGGTAGGGTTGAATTGAATTAAGTTTTTATTGTAATTCCCAAGTTTGAGAGTTTGAGAGTTTGAGTTGGCTTTGGTTGCGATCAAAGCTTGTTGGCCGGCTTATTGAATGAGCAAACACACTCGTTCACATCGAAAGCTTCACTACTCGATCGTGCATCCTTCCAGGTGTAAGGATTCCCGTTCGTTCCATCAGAAATTGAGTTTGTGAGGGCTTGACCAAGCTAGGGTCGAGTTCTGTGTTTAATCCGAGAGCATCTTCTTGACCTAACTAGCTCGCTGCGCGACTGTGATCCCTTGAGACCCGAGTTTGGGCTCATCAAGTGGAATCTATAGCCTGGTTCAACGCATTGGACACGAGTATGGAGATAACGAAGGAGGGCGGCGGCGGAGCAAGTCACTGGACGAGGTCGAAGGGCCCTGTCTTAGGTGACCCTGCCCTGCTGTTATCCGAACAGAAAAAGAAGAAGAAACAAGCAGCAGTTGCATCAAAGAATCAAACTTCCAACCCTGCATCCTCTTCTCTTCAATCGGAATTGACGATGGGAGAGGCTCAACCTGTTACGATGGCAGGGCTGCAACAGTTCTTTCAAGAGCAAGTTGTTGCTCTGCTCCAAAACCAGCTGGACAAGCAAGAAGAAAAATTCCAGGACATCAACAATAAATTCGATGCTCTGACTCGCCAGGTAACGATGCTGCGACGGCAGGAGGAACCAATGGCGGCGACGCCGCTCAGAACTCAGGCCGCCCAGGAGCAGGGGTTCTCGCCGTCGACAAATCAAGGCAACCCGGGAAGGAATGGGGCAGAGGCCCATGATCAAGCTCTGGCAGAGCGTGTTATGGAGCTCGAAAGACAGCTGATGACTCTGGACGTTAACAATCTGGACCAGCAACCGCCAAATCACCAACGGGCAGGGATGTTGCGAGGAACAGAGGAGGTACCCATATCAGAATTGAGGGGAATTAAACTATCGATTCCAGTCTTTCAAGGAACAATCAACGCTGCTACTTATTTAGATTGGGAAAGAAAGATTACTCTGTTTTTCAGTGCGGTAATTACAACGATGCTCAGAAAATAACATTGGCTACATACGAGTTCACCGATTATGCTGCCACATGGTGGGAGAAGGTTCAATTGAGAAGAAGAAGGAACTTGCAGGCTCCTGTGACAACGTGGGAAGAGTTAAGGGGGTTGATGAGAGAGCGGTTTGTTCCTGCATATTATCAATGCGAGTTATACGAGTCATTGCAAGCAATTCGGCAGGGGTCGAGGTTAGTTGATGACTATTACAAGAACTGGAGCTGTTAATGGTTAGAGCGGATGTGAGAGAGGATCAAGATGCGACGATTTCGCGATTTCTTCATGGCCTCAATAGGGAAATTCGAAATGAGGCGGAGCTACGCCAATTTGTGGATTTGGAAGAAGTGGTTCACCTTGCTATCAAGGTTGAACGGCAATTGAAGACTGGATTGGGACGCCGACTTCAGAACACAACTCCTCGACAGAGTGCTCCCGTTGAAACAATACCGCAGGAAGTGGCTGCTCCAACTCGACCAGCCATGGCAAGAACTGCAGGACAGAGTGGTGGTTCAGGTGTCCAAGAGATAATTGGAGGCACTACCAGCAGGTTGGAGTGCTTCAAGTGCCACGGTCGTGGGCACAAATCGTTTCAGTGCCCAAATCCGAAGGCCCTGGTTCTTTGCGATGGCGAGTATTACTCTGAATCAGAAGATGAGGAGAAGAGGCCCGATCAAAGTCCCTCCGATGAAGAAGTTGACGAAGAGATCATCGCGGAAACACCACCTGGAAAGCTAGCCTTCGTGAAAAGAAGATCCCTCACAATTGAAGCTGATTGTGAAACCCAGCAACGAGATAATTTGTTCCACACGCGTTGTTTAATTCAGGGGAAGACAACGTCTATGGTGATTGACGGGGGAAGTTGTACCAACCTGGTCAGTTTGGAGACCGTTAGGAAGCTCGGATTGAGCACGTTGAAGCACCACGAACCATATAACCTCCATTGGCTTAATGATCATGGCATAGTAAAGGTTACGAAGCAAGCGTGGGTGGAATTTGAGATTCGCAAATACAAGGACTGAATCCTTTGCGATGTAGCGCCAATGCACGTCGCCCATGTTCTCTTGGGCCGTCCATGGCAGTACGATCGAGGCGTTACGCACCATGGGAGGACCAACTGCTACACCTTCCAGCTTGACAATAAGAAGTTCAAGCTGCAACCTTTGTCACCCGTTGAGGTTCGAGATGACCAACGCCAATTAGCGGCCAGTCGAACTGG